GAGCGGCCGTGCGGCCCAGGTGGGTGATGGTGGCAGAAAAGGGGGGTGTGCAGCGGGTGGCCAACCCCCCGCGCCTGATGCAGGTCATTGCCATGTCCAAGCAGCAGAGCATTGTCTCTGTCACCCCCAAGCACTCGGAGACGTCCTCGTCCTCCACCAGCTCCGACTCCTCGCAGTACCGCTCGCCCTCGGAGCGGGACAGCTCCAGCATCATCACCATCGACGCCCACGCTCCCCACCACCCCGTCGTCCACCTCTCAGCTGGCAATGGGCCCTGGGAGTGGAAGTCGGGGCCAAAGGGGCCGGAGGGGCCAGACACCTACGAGCTGGGTGAGATGGGGAAGGATTTCCGTGGCTTCCACCCAGCCAAGAGCGCTGGCATCTCCCCTGGCTCCTCCGTCAGCGACATGGAGCAGGATGAGCCGCGCTATGGCAGCCTGGCTGCCATTCCGGGGGCAGCAGGGGGCTGTGGGGACCCCCCCGAGGGGCTGCTGGGCACGGCCAGCCGTGAGTCCACACTGAGGAGGAAGCCGGTGGAGAGGGATGGGCCGGCGGACAGCGAGGTGGACCACTACTACAAGAAGATGCAAGCCAGTCGCAGGTTTAAGGACTGAACCCGCGGTGCCTTCCCTGCGCCCGGTCCCAGCCCAGGGGTCTGTGGCGCCAGGGTCCCTTCTAGGGGGCCTCTTTAGGACGGGGGGTCTTTGGCATCAGGGCAACATGAGAACATGGCAGAGCATGGTCACACTGACCCTGGGCCAGCTGTGATATGTGTGGGATGCCCCACGTGGGGTCCTGCTGCCACCCGGGCAGCTGAGGGGATTCAGGGGGCTCTGCCCCACCCCACAGGGCTGGGCAGCTCCAGGCACTTTTGACTTTCTTTTTCTTTAACAGAGGTGCTGACATTTCTGAGGGGTTGATTTATTCTGGCTCTGGAAGTGATCGTCTGGTGGGAGGTGGGTGGGAGCAAATGGTGCCAAAGGGCTTTGGGGGGCTGGATCAAGGGGTTTGGGGGAAGGGGGCTGCTGTGGGACAATGCTTGTGTGGGGATTTGTGGATGTTGGGGGTTCTGTGAGAACAGGGAGGGAGGGGTCAGCACAGACCCACATGCTGCACCATGGGGCTGTGTTGGGAAGAATGAGGGGGGATGGTCCCAGGGAGGGTGTTTGCCCAGGGCTCTGGGCAGACAGAGGCTGTAAATACTGCACAGGTGAAGCTGAGGGTGGGCATTGGGGTGGGGGGGCCCAGGGTTTGGGCACTGCCAGGACTGGCATGGAGGGGAGCTGGGGCCCAGCCCCATCCCCAGCAGCAGCCCTGGGCTGGGGACCGAGAACTGGGGGGTTGGGAAGGGTCTGCAGGCTGTGAATGAGTCTGTTGAGCAACGACTGGAACTGCTGTAGTTTGAAAAGCAAATAAACACGTGGATGTTCCCTGACTGGGATCCTTTGCCAGGGTGGAGGAGTGGGGGAGGGGGGGCTGCTGATCCCACAGCTCCTGGGGGGACAGGACTGTGACACCCCGCATCCGGGGGTGGACAAGAGCCACAGGCTGATGGCCCGGAGGGCCCCGGAGCG